AAAAATGTCTCTTGGACTACTTCTTTCCTAATTATTACTCAGCATTTCTTCTTTGCACTTTATAACTTAGATAAACATACCCTATCAAAACCAAGTATAATTACAGTTCTTTACTTTATATGAGAAAATAAATAAGTAATTCTAATCATGCAAGACAAGTTTTAGTTCATTAATGTGTTCTATCTTCAAAGACAGTCTGAGTATAGATATACTCTGTAGAGTAAAGACACCCCCCCCCCAATAGGAACAAAAGAGAGACAGAAATTTATAGCATTAATTATTTTTTGTTCTAGAATGAAAGTGCATGGTAATAAATAAGATATATGAACCAAATACACACAAAATAAAAGTCCCAAGATAGATAGTGCTATTGTAGTAGGACAGTTAATAGCCCTCTAGGGCAAAGACCAGGAAAAGTTAAGAGACTCATTTTCTTTTAAAACTCTTGTGTTGCAAGTAATGGATGAGACAATACAAAAAGTACAGATTCTGAAAGTTAAAAAATCTAATAAACTGTTCCCATCGTCATCTCAGTTACCTTTTTCTCTTTCTATTTTCAAAGGTCCTCTGTTGGTTATTTATTTGCTCAAATGTCTTTTATCAACACTTCTCCAAGCACCAGAACCTGAAAGGTGGCATGAGAAGACACTCCTTCCTGAAAGGCACAGGAGTTCCAAAGCTTTGAAAATAGTTTCTACCTACAGCAGCAGGACTCCATGAAGGGCAGTGACCCTCAGTTAAATGGAGTGAAGACTCAGTCTTCACAGACCCTCACTTTATGCCATTTGTGCATTAAACCTGTCCTCGCATTCAGAGAACTGGTCATAGTTTCCATAAAGTAACGTCTCTATGACTGTCTGTGATGCTGAAAGTTAGATCATCATTTTCCCCAGGTTACATAAGCGTAAAGGTGTTTTTCTACTGTGTGAAAGCATACTACTAGTAGCAATCAGTGTTTTATAATCGGAGTGAGAATGCCATTAAGATTCTAAAGCAGCATCCTAAGAGGTCCCTCTTGTTTGCAATTGGCAGAATATCAGCTATTTCAATTCAAACAACGGACTGCAGTAAACTGAACTAATTACCTCCATCCTGTTTCTACTCAACTCTTCTTACTCCCCGGTGTCTACTCCATCTTCTTAGGGGAGAAGATAAGCAGATGGATGTGAGCAGGTGCACAGAACTTTGTGCAGCCAGCAGCCCTGAGAGCAATTGGTCAACACCCTTGAAGCCAGTTAAACTTTCAGTAAATGGTTTGCAAACTCCGACAGATGTGCTGTTGGTCCCCGTTGTGCTGTTCAACATCTATATGACTCCATATAAGAAACTAAAATCTGGGAGTTGGAGGATTACTTTTCTCTAGTATATTCTATTTAATATTTTATGATTTTACTCCATAACTAGTGTCTTCTCTTCATAATGGAAAGCTTGGCCTGGTTCTGTGTTCACTGGTGGAATGTGCCACGAAGGGATGACAGTCGTGTGGTTACACTCACCAAGGATGTGAATATGTTTTCATTTTACAACTGAAGAAGCAGATAGTTAACTGACGCTGTTGCAATCATAGAGGGAAAAGTCAGTCTTTAAACTCACAGCTCCTACCCTACAAAGTGAGCCTGTTATTATTGCAGCTCAGTTTTAACATATGTGTTCTTGGACGGCAACAAAATTACCATTACAAAAATCTTATTTAAATGAAACATTTCTGATTTCTAAATATATTTTTAACTTTTCTGAGCACTATTAAAGTCAACCTCATAGAAATGATTATGGAATTTTCTTATCAGAATATTTTTCATTTCCCCTATATTACACTCAGAACCCCTCAAATTTTTATTTTCCACTCTCTTGCCCTTCTTCTCTATTGCTACTTCTGTCACACACACCCCACATCTTCTCAAACTGTAAATGCAGCTTCAGAGTCCATCTTTTAACAGCTGATGTGCTGCATACCTCTTCTTAAAATCCCTTACATTTCTGCTCTTGCAGTCTCTAATCAGGAATTGGGATTTGGCTTTCATAACTCCAAGGAGAAGGCAAATTGCCTTCCTGGCAGGCACATATATATCCACACTATTTATTGCTGCAAGGGTATTTTCCCAATCCAAAATTAGTGCCCTGAAGAGGAAACTGTCGCTGGGGAGGGTGTGAAGAGCAGAATTAAAGAAATGCATCTTTACAATGATTCTCCTGAGGATATTCCCAGGTTCCAGCCCTCTTCCCTGTAGCCAGATTATTTTGGTTTTGATGTTAAAATGGGAGTGATTCCACCTGTCTGGCTAGTGAAGAGCCAGTTCATAGGCATTGTCCCCTTTCCTGGACAGAGGATGAAAATCAGAGAGCCCTTATGCTGTTTTTAAATCCAACTTTCCAGGTACCCATCTGAAAAATATTTACAGGATACCAAGTCATCAGATATTTCTCTTTTATCCTTGGTAATCAAATGAAGTTTGTTTTGACTTGAATGTTTTTAACTGTATAAACAAATAATATGGCCCTGGCCAGTTTGGCTCAGCGGTTAGAGCGTCGGCCTCGGACCAGAGAGGCCCAGGTTTCGTTCCCACTAAGGGCACGTACCTCGGTTGCAGTTTGTCTGCCGCCTGGTTGGGGTTGTGTGGGTGGCAACCAGTCGATGTGTCCCTTTCACATTGATGTTTCTCTCTCTCTTCCTCCCTCTCGCTCTATCTGAAGATACGTGCAAAATGTCCTTGGGTGAGGATTTAAAAAAAAACCTAAACAAAGAATACAGGATAAGGCAAGTGAGGTATAACATGGAATGAAGCCGAATGGAACTAACAATTAACTTTCTCTTTGCTTCCCCATAAGAAGGTATTTAATAGCTACTGTTCTGGGTTGAACTGTGTCTCCACAATTCATATTTTGAAGTCCTAACCCAAAGTAACTCAGAATGTGACCTTATTTGGAGATAAGTCTTTAAAGAGACAATCAAACTGCAATGAGGTCATTAGGATGGGTCCTATTGTAATGTGACTGGTGTCCTTACAAGAAGGGGAAATTTAGACTCAGTGTCACGGGACGGTGAACCCAGGGACCTACAAGGCAAAAGGAGAGGCTTGGAACAGATCCTTCCTTCTCAGACCTCAGAAGGAGTCAACCCCACCACCACCTTGATTTTGAACTTCCAGAACTGTGTGAAAATCGATTTCTGTTGTTTAAGACACCCAATTTGTGACACTTCATCACAGCAGCCCTAGCAAACTAGTACAGCTACCTACTTAATCCGCCCCCCCGGAAATTAAACTGTCATTTTTGAAATTTCAACCGTACATTACTGTTGAAGAAACACATATCTATTCAACTTTATATTTGATCTCTTTAGGGGAAAAAAACCAAAAAACAAATAAAAAACCTACGCTGCTCTTTCATTGTAATGTTCTGGATTGCACGATAGGATCCACGATAGCCATAGGAGATGTCGAGAGTCCTTGAAAACAACATTCCACAACTGAATAGAGCAAGTAGAAGTTACAGCGCTTTAAAGCCACCCAGTTAGTTACCAGTGAAGACAGTCACATGGCTCCCAGTCTCATGGTTTTTTACTACAGCACACAGCCACCCTGGGGTAGTAGCCAAGAATTACATATCATTAAAACGTCATGTTGAAAATGTTTCTAGTCAGGGTAGTATAAGAATAAGCAGAAACTTAGATCACAAAAGAGTTTACCTCCCTGAAACAGTCTTCTACAGTTCCTGACACATATTCTTTTTTTTTTTCCTTAACAATTTTTTTTTTGTCTTTATTGATTTTAGAGAGGAAGGGAGAGGGAAAGAGAGATAGAAACATTGATGAGCGAGAACATTAATTGGTCGCTTCCTGCTTGCCTCCACTGGGGATTTGGCCCACAACCTGGGCGTGTGCCCTGACCGGGAATCGAACCAGCGACCTCTCGGTGCATGGGTTGACACTCAACCACGGTGCCACACTGGCCGGGCCTGACACATATTCTTAATCAGACTATTGATAATGTCACTGTTACATAGTAGATACACTTATATACTGTTTTGAGATAAGCACAGCAAATGGAAAACAGCAAAATCTCAGTTAGTCCATGGAAAGGTTGAGATTTTCATTTCAAATCTGTATATTTAAGTAGAGGAAAATGTTCAGAGGACCACTTATGCAATTTGGTATTTCTCAATGGTTTTCACAAGTTGAATACTTTTAGGAAGTTTTTAAGGATAAATATTATTTTAATTCAAGTTGTTACTTATCACCAAGCTAATTACTTCTTGATAGACTTTTTCTGTTTCTTTTCTCTCCCAATTATTTTCTTTGATACCAATTTTGTTGAGAAAATTCGGGGACACGTGGTAAGAATCTTGAAATAGCTGATGTGGAAGAGAATTCTGACTCTTCTACCCTAAAGGGTAGAACTCAGATGACCTGGTTGAAGTTGCAATTAAATAAATTTAATAAATAAATGAATTTAATAAATAAATAAAAAGAGGTATGTTTTGACAGAATTAGCTACTGCAGCAAATTTTTGAAGGTTAGTCACTGGTGATGTTCTAAGCATTAGACCATTTGAAGGCTTTATTATAAGGAGGATTCAAGCAATGATAAGATTTGATTAAATTCACTTTATGGCCTTTTTCATCTTAAAGTATGTGGTTCAATGAACTCTGTAGTAATATTATGGAACTAGTTCTTCCTGTCTGCTAATCCAAGGTTTATTCTTTCATACTCTTGACACCCTTTGTGTTTGATATAGCTATATAATTTATGTAAGTAACATACATTTAGATGACACAGGTTGAAACATAGGTCACAGCCCATATATATCAAGTTAGAGGTAGGGCTGAAGTCAAATTCTCATTTATTACTACAAACTCATCTATCTGTTACCATACTGAGTGAGGACAACAAACTGTCTTATAATCATGAAAACAAAATTATTTCAACAGTCATATTAGTTCTTGGAATTCTTTTCTAAAGAGCTACAAGTAATTAGCACACCATGAGATAATCGTATACTAACCTCTTTCATTTTTTCCAATTCATTCTGTAAAGCTTGCTTTGCAATTTCAACTTCTATAAGCTGTTGCCTCAGTTTCTCATTTTCATCTTCTGTTGTTGTTCTCTTTTCTTCCACATTTTCCAGTTCATGGTGAAGTCTCACAGATACATCCTTTGCAACCTAAATCAAAGTGTTTGTAGAAATAAAATATAATTAAGACAACAAAATACGTAGGCTAAAGTTATATTCATATTAAAAGCATTAAGAGCCAATACTTATATACCGTTTACCATATGCAGGCATTAGTCCAGATGCTTTACATACAACAGTCCTATGAATAGGTACTATTATTATTCCTGTTTTATAGATTGAGAAACTGAGTCTTGGATATGTGAAGTAATATGCTCAAGGTCCTAGAGCTAACAAATGGCCGGGAAGTCTAGCTCTCAACTCTGTTCCCTTAACCTCTACATTACACTATAGTAATAAATGTTCAACTGTGTCTATCATGTATAGAGAAATTTTACATATCTTCTCTAATTCTATCAGGTAGGCATTTCTATTATTACCAATTTTAAAGACTAGAAAACAAAGTTTTCATAAGTGAGGTATGGGGCATGAATTTTGATCCTGGACTTCCAGGTACTTAGTTTTAGGAACCACTTTAGTCTTTGAGATTAAGTTGTTAAAAAAATAACAATGTGCATTTTGCCTCCTTTCCTGAGATTATCCTGGAAAATTTAGGGTTTGGAAAAATGGTGCAGTTTTGTGAAGTGGCTCCAGAACCGGCTGTGTTTTTATTTTTTTATCCTCACCCAAAGACATTTTTGCATTTATCTTTAGAAAGAGCGAGAGGGAGGGAGAGAGAGAGAGAAACATCGATGTGAAAGAGACACATTGACTGGTTGCCACCCACACAACCCCAACCGGGGCTGGGGACTAACTGCAACCAAGGTATGTGCCCTTAATGAGAACCAAACCAGGGACTCTCTGGTTCGTGGGTAGATGCTCTAACTGCTGAACCAAACCAGCCAGTGCAAAGAAGCTGTGTTTTTAGACTGAATAGGGAGCTAGCCTGGCTACCTACTTGCTGAATTACAGGGCTGAGTGAAGGCTGGGCACTTAACCTCAGCAAAAGGTTCAGTTTAAGTACCTGTTAAGTGATGCTATTAATAATCCCTACGTTGTAGGTCTTCTTTTTCTTGAGAAATATATGAGATAATAATACATGTAACAATGCTCGCCATGGTGCCCAGTGCATAGTGAGTACTCAACAAAGGTTTAAAAAAAGAAAAGAATAAGTAATACACCAACTTTCTTAAGATGTTTTCTCACTGCTTTCTTTAACACAAATATAGAATAATGACATTTGATTATTCTACCCTGAAGTTAATACAATTAAAAGTATATGTTTTTGGTTGTCCAGGCCATGACGATAACATCTGACCTACAGTTAAACTGAATTGAACTGACCACACCTGCCTAAAAATGCATTTCAAAGCTGAAATTTCTCCACTGGGAGAAATTCTGAAAGGCAATTTCACATTAGAAAGAATGTGAAGTGTTTCTTTTATTTACCTCACTCTCCCTTTACTCCTAAAAGGGGTCTTAAATTGGACAGTTTTCCTTTGGAGGGGGTGATGGAAGTAGTAAGTACAGCAAAGAAGGACTACTGGAAGGTAGGGGGTGGGGACTTGCAGGAGAAAGCTCAGCCCATACCTTCCCAGTGCTGTTCCTATTCAGGGCTTCAACTCCTCTGGGGCAGTCCTCAGGGCACCGCTCTTGAGTGCCTCATTCCACATGGCCTTCATTTGGAAGGCAGATTCTGTAGGCCAGGCCAAGGCCAGAGCCTGGGTTCTGCCACACCCTTGTTTCCCCCAGGAAGGGAGACGCCCTCTTTCCACCACCTCTATTAGCGCCATCATTAATTACTCCCAGGAGAGCTCATTGAGCTCGTTCTCCCTAAGGCCTGACACACTCCACTCTTCAGATCCACCTGTTTGTTCTCACCATTCTTCCGGCACTGATATTTTGTGGTCAGAGCTGCGAAACTCTGTGACTCTAAAGCGCTTTGCTAGTCACCACTGAAGGCCTTTCAGACAGCAAAGAGCCGTTGGTTGACCAGAGTCCCCACCCACCGACACCCAGCGCCACAAACCTTGAGGTCCTGCTCCAGGCTGCGCAGCAGCTCCCCGTCGATTTCACCGGTCTGCGCATAGCGGAGCCTTTTGCGCTCGGCTTTGCGGAGGCGGTACTGCAGGATCCGGCAGTTTTTGTTGGCTCTCTCCAACTCGTGGCGCATTTCCTGCAGTTGACAGGCATCCTCCTCGAAGAAACTGTCCCTCATTTCGTCCATCTCGGTCCTCAGCTCGTCGATCTCGTTCTGGGGTGACAGGCCGCGGGCCAAAATTAGCCTCGCTCTCCACCCCTCTGACATACACTGTGTACACCCCATCCCAATTCCAAACCCTCATCTTTACTGCCCCATCATCTCCAGGACACAGGAATGACACGGAGAAACTGGAAAAGCGGCCCTCTCTAGGCCTTCTCTCGCTCTCCTACTGTACCTAGCTCTCTCCATGAAAATATGGGGAAAACCATAATTAGAGGAAGGAAGGTCCAGATTTGGGTTTACATTAAAACCTAACGCTACCAATCTCGGGCTGTATTAAAACCGGAAAAGGCCTACGAACCCCCTCCCTTCATTTCCTGTTCCCCTCCTTTAAGGCTCCCTAACAGGTTAGCAGCCTCTCACCTTCTCCGGGACACGCCCTAATCCTTCGAGGCTCCCCTCCCCCACCGGATTACCCCTACCCTCCTCACCTTGAGAGTCTCATTTTCCTCTCGAAGCTTCTCCATCTCCTCCTGCATTTCTTCCTGCTCCTGGAGCTGCTGCGGGTGCGGCTGTGGCTGCGATGGAGGGGGCTCCGCCGCCTGCATGCCGCCGCCGCTGGCGCTGCCCTCTGCGCTCTGCTGGGGGCCCTCCGCTGCCGCCGCCATTGGGAAAGAGGAAGGGACTGCAAGAGATTCGCAAATGGCAGGGGCGCCAGAGACCGGAGAGTTGCGGCTGCTGCCACTGCCACCGTTCTTAGTGTGCATTTGAGCCGCGGCTGCCGCCGCTGCCGCCCGCTCTTTCTTGAGATGGAATTGGATGAGCTCAGACTGCAGACATCCTTCCTTCCAGTAGCTCCCTCCTCCACTGCTGCTGCCTCCCACAACGCCGCTTCCGGAGTTTCTACTGCCGGGGACTGGGGTTTTGACCGCAGAGGATGGCGAAGGGGAGGCCCCCTCCCCGCCGCTGCCGCCCCTCTGCTGAGCTCTTACGCCTTTCCCTCGCCAGCCCCTGGGCGGCGGCGGCTGCGGAGCGCCCCCCTCCCTTTCCCCGGAGCCGCCGCCGGCTCCTCCTACTTCCCCACCCCCTCCCCCTCCTTCCCCGCGCGGAGGGTGTTCCCCGAGTTTAGAGGACAGGGGCTGTAGTTCCCGGGGTGGCTCCTCGGTCGGACCAGGCCTCCTGCCACCCACCGGGGCCAGGGTCACAGCGGGAGCCGCTTCAGCACCAGCCACGGGCTGGACAGCTCCCGGCACAGCCCCTTTGGGAGCCGGGGGCCCTGCCTTCTCCGCCCCGCCTCCGCTTCCTCTGGTGCTGGCTGGAGGCGCAGCGCGGCCCCCGGTCTTGTTGCCCTGCTGCTGCTGCTGCTGCTGCTGCTGCTGCTGCTGCTGCTGCTGCTGTTGCTGTTGCTGCAGCTGCTGCTGTTGCTGCAGCTGCTGCTGCCGAACAGAATTGAGTTTAGTGCCTGCCCCAACTGGGGATCGGGTAGCCGATGTTGTCTGTCGGACCGAATTGTCCCTCAGTCTAGCGGGTGACTGAGCACGCTGCTGCTTTCTGCTGCTGCCCTCAGGGTGCAGGCGAGCCTCAGTGGCAGCTGTGGCGGCAGAAGCTGCGGCTATGGCAGGGGCAGCGCCCCCGGTCGGTGGCTGACTCATGGTCGTCTACGATGAAACTACCCCATGCGATTTAGAATGGTCCATCACCAGATCATTCTCTTCCCTTGTCACCAACACCAAACTTCCTTCTAGTCTGGAACAGAAACAAAAGAAAGAAAACATACAACATGTCTGCATTGTTATAGAGCAAAGGGTAATTTTGCTACACAATATAAGCCCTAGAAAATGAAGAGATTTGGAAGGTGCTTAATAGAAGCCTTGACTTCAGGAGTAAGATGCAGAATTGTCAATTCTCGTTTTGCCCAGGGAGGCGCTATCTCCAACCCACTGCACTTTAGTAAAATCACTATGTGAAAGCAGCTGAACCTTACATTTTCAGGGCAGCATGTTTTGATAAAGGTGAGACATGGATTCAGAAAAGAATTGAGGGCAAGGAAGATTTTTTAAAAAGTGTAAAGTCAAAAGAAAGCTTCAGAGGAAAAGAAGATGTCCACATACTAGAGTTTTAAATACCCTGATTTTTCAACTTCAGTTTTTCTCACCTCAAATCTGCAATTTAAAGCATAGTTTAGTGGAGAGAGTTTTATTTAATTAATACACCCAGTGTCAATGACAGGAAAAAGGTTATGATGGAGGTTCCTGAAGAAAATTTGCTATGGACAAATGGCACTTTCCCCAAACAACTCTAACCCTGAATGTTGTTCTTAGTTGGAGAAATGCACCCACTTTCCTTCAGACTAGGACACACACACACACACACACACACACACTTTAAATCAACTTCAGTTTCAAGAAAATAATGACATTAGAAATCATCTATATAGTTTAGTCATAGCAACTCTGAAGGGATTTTTCTTTTTTATGCTTTGGGAAATAATTGTTAAAATACTTGTAGAAAAGTTTATTGACAATCTGAACAATTTCTTAAATTACACGTGATTTCCTATACTTATCAAATTTCATAGTTCTTATGAATTTTTTTAGTTTTAAGCATAATTGCTAGATAGAAAATATTTTTGTTCTTACACATCTTCTCAGATGATACATTATAAGCAAAGTTATATTTTTTCAGTGCCCTGTTCTTCCTATGAAGGCACATTCTGAGAGAGAATAACCCTGCACCCAAAAAGCCTGCTGCATCCTGACTTGGCACCCAGAAGGCTGGTGCATACTAACTCATGGTGATAAGACCAATTGCTATTGTGTATTTTTTTCTCCAAAGATAATGCTATCATTGGCATTTAATATCTGACAAATAGCAAACAATTACCTCCTAGGTTCTCCCTAATGATCCAGCTATGTAATCAGCTAGTCAATTAGATCCTTTTTCCTTAGAACTAGAATTTCTCTCCAAAGCATTGAAAAGGTGATGAATAGGCATAAAGTTCTGCTTAGAAGAAAAAATAAATTTCTCCTATTAAGAGAGGAGATATTTGCCAGTTACTTTACTAGCGTTATTCTTGTTATTGTCTATTTACAGTATCATAACTTAGTCAACATACAGTACAGTAAATCCTCATTTTATGAAGAAATATGACTGGAGGGTTCCTTCTCCACCTCCTTGTCTCTTCCTGGGAATCTCCTTCTAACTCAGTTTGGAAAATAACAGTGAACAAAGAAGACATTAGGTGGAGGGAGTTGTCCATCAACTCATTTTCTACGTATTTTCTTGGAGCCACATGCTCCTAGAATGTGTAACCTAGTCCATCTGTGTGGGTCCCACTAATGTGGACCACCCAGACACGTCGTTCAACCTGATTTTTGTTTTTATTTAGGCAGAATCATTCCAGGGGTGAGAGGCACCAAAGAACGCTTAAACTCGGTCTCCAGACAACTCTAACCCAGAAAAAAGCATAGCTGCCACAATCAAAGGTACCTGACCGCTGTCACGTGGTTCTCCCTAAGTGACAAGATTTTGTGTCTCTTCCCCCCATGAAAATAGTCAATCAAGCAACCCCGGAACAGCCCAAACAAACATTTTTAATCTCCAGTTTTATCTGCCCATTAACCTACCCCATTTCTCATCCCCATCCCTTAAGAAATCCAGAAGAACTAACTGCTCACTTCTCAGCAGAGGCGACGTTTCCAAGTTGATGCAAATCAACAGCGCTTTGCTTCTGATCTTCCGGCGACCTCAGGATTTATTGTGTCTTTCAGAGACAAGGAAAGTTTAACTTCGTAGTATTATATTCGACTTTCTGGCTGAGCACGACTTTGGGCACACTGGCCCCAGGTCCACACCCACTGAATTTCTCCAAACAATGGCGTTAACGTGCAGACTCAGCGGCCCGGAGAGCGGGTTACTCCCCGGCGATCCGCTGCTGGGCTGGAGCTGCAGCTCGGAGTAGGCGACCACGGAGGTACCAAGCGGTGCCAGACGCTCCCCAGGAAGTGCACTGATATTCATGAGCTGACCTCACCGGACTGGGAAGGGGAGTGGGCGGGCTTGCAGGGGAGGACAAAGTAGAAGTAACCAAAGAGAGGCTACTTTCAAGAGGAAAGAGAAGAAGGCGGGGACAAAGAAAGGGGTGGGGGTGGCAATAGACAAAAAGGCCAAAGCCACGCCCGAGAAGAAAGGTCGGTAACCACGTTCAAAGGACTTGCAGCACTCCCGTGATCCATACTTGGCAGAAGATCACAAAACCGCTCGAAATCGGATGCACTGGTTTTCTGCGAAGCTTTGTCCTTGGCTCAATCAATCTCCATCTATTATTCACTTGGTTCTTTTCGCAGGGAGACGGATGCGAACAGCCTTCCGGGAGTGACTGACGTCTCCCGGTGCAGCTGCGAGGCGCTGGCGGGCGGCTGCTGGGAGTTCTCTTTGTTCGCTCACTTTAATTCTCGGTGGAGCTCTCCACGCGGTGCACCGTCCCCACCCCCAGCTCGGGCGGAGTCATCAGACGTCGTTCCAAGAGGAGATATGGTTGCCAGACCCACTGTCCCGCAGACAAAGGGTTCCTGTGATGCCACGACTAATTTAGAGCAAGCCGAATAAACATCGGTTTACAGAGAGCGTTTACAGACGGGTTTGCCCTCCGCACATTTTCCTCTCCACTAAGCTCTATTCCACTGTGAATACAGGACCAATTGCTAACATCCACACTCTTTATAGTAGTGCATGTTGGTAACGGGAAACGTCAAGAGTGTATTTATACAATATGAGCTTAAGAATTGGGCCTGGGGGTGGGGGGGATTCAGAATAGATGCCTAATAGATTAGTACACTAATCTATACTGCTTCACAATAATAACATTTAAAAAATCTGACTAGAACATTCTCTTTTCCTTCCCAATTTTATTGGGGGGAGCAGGGAGATTTGTTCCTACCTCTAAGAATTCCTCAGTGAACTTAAAGATGGGAATAAAATAAACACTGCTTTGGAGAGGTTGTTTTTAAAGTTAAAATTCTCTTACATTTAATATTATAGTTTTGTATCTAAAAGGAAGTCACTGCCTTGAAATAATAATTGTTTATGCCAACATAAATTTTATTGTAATATTCAATTTACCAGGTGTAACATCTTTCATTAAAATGAAATTAAAACAGCTAGTAATTTGCATACAAGCAATATCACTATAGCAAAATTTTTAAAAAAAAGATGTTCAAGCCTTGGTGAATCATATTTCTAACTATATATTAGACAAGTATAATATCAGGGCAAAATCATTAATGTATCATCTGCTCCAAAATAATTAATATGGGAGCAGTTTATGCTGACACTGTCCATGGTGCTGGTTATGCAAAGATTAAATTAAGAAATAGTCTCTGTTCTGGGGATGCTCAAACCTATTGATGAGTATTAGAATAACTTCCATATAATTCTTTGGAGTCTTTTGGACGGTGGAATTGTGATATCTATGACACCTATAATTAATTGCTCAGTCCTTGACCAACATATAGAAAATAGAGAAATAAAAACAAAGTAAAATGCAATCACAATTCATTTATAAATTATATTCTGCTATTTGTCATTATGTACCCAAATTTGAGTTGTGATTGCCTTAAGAAATACCAAGATTCATAGATATCATTCAATCAAAAAATGAACAAAAATATTTTTTGCATTAATATTCAGAAATAAAATGATAATATGAGCATAGTCTAAGAACACAAAACATACCTGGCCCTGCTTCTCTAAGAACATGTACACTGTTTAGGCATCTATGTTTTAAATTTTTCCTAAGATACCATTTATTTTAACATAATTCATATTTTTAGAAATAATAAAATCAAGAATTGATTATCATGCAGTCAATGTACTTAAATGTGCACATTAAAAATTTAGTATACAATTTCAAAGTTGAAAGCTAAAAAACAGAATAAGTGATATTTAAGGTGCTTCCTTATTCAAGTAAATATGCTACATGAAAAACTTTTGAACTGGAAATTTATCTTCCTTACTTCTTTATTTGCTAGTTAAAGTTATGTATCTCCAACTAAGCAAACCTCAGAGATCATTATTCAGTGATTTGTTAATTTAGAAAGGCATTATTTTTACTATGTTTTAGAAGTAGACATGCCGATGACCTTTTAAAGTCTGTAGCAATGAATCATCCACTCTGTAACACCGGAAGATGTGTTTCACACTCAAAGCCCTCAAGAAAAACATAGGTTAAAAATCTATCCTTTCATCCTCATGACTTTAACCATGTAACTGTATTATTATCTGCATTGCTTTACTGTTTGCAAACCACTTCCATTTTGTGTGATGAAAATACTGTGAAGTAAACATAACTTCTCTACTTAAAACATGGAGGAGCTATGTTTCAGAGATGTTAAACGACTTACTCAAGTTCAATTTCGCAATCAGAATTTGAACTGGGTCCTCTCTTCCATTAAATCTGCTTTTTATAGTCTTCCCTTTTTATGTATGTGCCTTTTTATTTATGCCATGACTTACAGATCTGTATCTCTAAACCTGATTTTCTATCTGTATCCTTGTCTACTCTTCTTACTTATGCATAGACTGTATTTGGAGATAAAACTACCACCTCAAACTCCATATAAAATTTTTCTCCTTCAACTGATATCAATTTCTATTATATTTTTAGTTTAATGAACATAAACAATATATTCTATGTCTATTTTTCTTTTAGTTATATCATCATTTGATATTCTTTCCCACTACACATTGGTTTCTTCTTTCCTTAATCTTTTCCCTTCTCGTCTATAGTCATTTTTTCAAAAGATTTCCTAGACATATCTTTTCTATTTCACGTGCAATCATTAGCAAAATCTATACTCTCATAATTCTATGTTTAGACTACTACAAATTCTTTCTATATTCGATACATTCTTTCTGCCAAATACACATTGTCTAATGTTGCCAGTTTACATTTTTATTAAACCAAAATTTCCTGTCACTCTGCTAGGTCACTGCATTATTTTCAAACTCTCCTTCTTAGACTTAAAGAAATTGCACTGTCCCCCAAAATGTACTCCCCAATACTTCACCACACATACTCCCTGTCTGAGACTTATTATCTCTTTCCCCATAAGAACAAGGGTCTCATTCTGCTTATATACTTTTCCTCTTGCCATGTTTTCTATTTGGTATGTTCCACCTTTCTTTTCCAACAGCTACCCATACTCTAAGCCTCAGCTTCAGTTTGAAATCCTTCTGCACATGAATTTAGGCAAATTTTAAAACTTTCTGAGCCTCAGTTTCTCTCACTCAATCATTCATTCATTTATCTATTTAATATATATTCTTGAATTAATGTTATTAATATTACCTAGTTTATGTGTCATTATTATGAAATGGTGACAGTAATTATCACAGTGCATGAGACATGCCCTCATCATAACAAATTATCAGTGATAATTACTAAGTGCCTGGCATTATAAGCTGTCAATAAATGTTAGCTATTGTTGTCATTCTTCATATTTTAGGAATATTATTACATTAGTTTGCACCACATTCTACCATTCCTGAATTTCTATAGAACTAATAAATCAGATCCCACTTTTAGAAACATGATTAGTCTTGAATTATTCTATTATTGTTCACCCAGATGGTAAATATCTTCAAGTTATACTCCCATTACCCTCATTATCTCCAACAGGGAGTTAGGCACATAGAGGCTGAGAGAAAAGCTGATGTTTTCAGATTCATCCTCTGTTTTTGGAAAGTAATTTAGCTTGGATATGTGCCATTGTCTTGACCCTTATGACATATATATGGAGTCACAAGCCACATTTGTTCTCTGGATTGCATTTCAGATAATAATTTATGAATCATAGACTCCTTGGGTTGCAATACCATGATTCATCTTTTTTTTTTTTTTATCTCTAAGCAGGCTACCCAAATTGCAGTATACATTAGGTTTAGCCTAATTTCAGGCATCTCGATAAAGTCAATTCTACACTCTCCTAGAGTAAATATACACATTATAACAACATTATGATGAAAACTGATGGTTTAGTTCATATAGTAGATTAAGGCTGCTTTGTGAATGATAAAAATTGCTACTCTACTATAGATGCTTTACTTATGTTTTGTTGTTGGCTAATTTTGCAATTGGATATTGCATAGTCAAACTTCTGTCATATTACTTCTGCAATTGCTCATGGATACTTACCCTTGGTAATTCAGACCAATATCTAGCCACTGGTTTCAACCCAGCCCATTTTCAATCTTATCTTAATCTTAGTGTAGATTTTTTTTACAAGTCTGTTAGATATTATATAAATTCTGTACATATTTACAATTACCCCAAATATCACAAGTGTCATAATTTAGAATCATCAAAATTATATAACTGTGCTTTAATAATTCTTTATCTTACCTACTCTACACCTGCCATCATCAGTCATTAAATTGCTCTAATATAAGACACTAGGGTAATTCTTATTGTGCCAGATCAGCAAGGATGGCACTGTAAGTTTCTCTATAGTTCACTAGTAATTTTTAATACACGTTTTCATTTCAACCACCTACTTTTCTTCTCCCATGCTGCCTGAAGAAAAATGTTTAAGGGTCCTTTGCATAGATGTAATCAAAGACCCAATTAACTGTAAATAGGTCTGGTAGCTTTTTATATTATTATGTATTGAATATTTGCCAAGTAAATTGCAAAGATTA